TTTTTCTTTCCTTAATTAAGTTTAAATACTCTTTATGATAAATTATAATAATATTAAAAAAACCAAATAAAATAAGAATAAACTAAATTAATCTAAATAAAACCACAACAACCAAACGCGCAAATTTTAAATAACTAAATAAACACCAAAATTTTAATATAATATACATAAATGAAATAACGATACAACTTTAGAAAAAGAAAATAAATAAAAATTTAACGTAAATTCAACTAAAATAATTTTAGATAAACATTAAAAATCATAACAACAAACGGTCACTATATAATATATAACCATATAAATAACTAATAATACACCCAAAAGAAAAGAGATATTAGATTTACTTATATACTTGAAGTTCTTACCTGCCTTACCGTATTTAGCATACAAACCTTATCTTATAACTACTCAAACCAAATTACCGAACTCACCTGATTTACTCACCTGCATTTTCTTACCTGACCTATCATACATATGCTTAGCTGTTGTCATTTACTGTAAATACCACTACCTGGTATTACTTTTTGTAAGTAGACTTAACGTAGTTTACTTATTTATACCTAACCTTAGGGTGAACACTTACCTTAATTATATATACAGGGTACTTACCTTAAATTAACTTACAACCCATACATAGACTTAGCATACTTAGTTTTAGGATGCACACTTAAAATTTAACTTCCTTAGGCTAAAGAGACTTAGACGATAGGATTAAGAACTTTAAGCTTTTAAGAATTAGTTTTAAGAAATGAATTTTGAATAAATTTTTGTAATTTAAAAAGGGAATGCTGGTCCTTATTATTTAGGAAGGCACTTAGGAATTTTACAAATGGGGTTATCGGGAATAGGGTGCGCCGATGACCATGGATGAGGGTGGGTCAGCACCAGGGGCCACACTTCCACCAGTGGCCCCAACCATATTCGGCCTTAGGTTTTTTTTTTGTTTTGGTTAATTTCTTTTGTTTCAGGGTTTTAGTGTTGGTATTTTTCCTTTCGCTTTCAGTTTATTTTAAATATTTAATTTAACGTTTCTTTTCCACCTTTTTTTGTTTGTAAAGGATTTTTTTTAATTTTTTGAGTTTTGAATTGTTGTGTGTCCGTCCGTTGGGATGTTTGACAGGCATGACTTTTCTC